CGCTGTACTTGAGGAATTGTGCCAGCATCGCTCGACGAAATGGATGAGAGGGACTACCCTAATTTGCTTATGATTGGAGGTCTGGGAACAGTTTCAAGACCTTTGTTTGATTCGGATGACTGCGTGGATGAACCGTTCTTCGTTTCTCTCGGGGTGGAGTGTTCTTAGGAAGGGGATGGTGATGGAATGCCGTGGCCCTGTTTTCTCTCCTCCATGCAATTAGTGTGATAATTTCTGAGGTTGCTCAGCGTGTAATGCATGGAGAAGACCCTATGCCCCTACTTGGGGCTCGAAACTGTTTCCCTGTTTCGATCAGTCCCAGTTCCCCGTGTTTGAGGTTAGACGGTTCGGTGTTCGTAAATTGGATTGCCGCTAAGAAGAGCTTTTTTCGATGAGGAGATGGAGATCATCCATAGTTGAAGGTGGATTGGACCCATAGCAGATCATAGGAACTGCCCACAGTCTTTGATTGGTTTTTCTGTTTCTGATCCTGATCCCACTTGGATCCGCTATTAATGAGTTACCGCCCCACTCCCGCTGGCTGGTCATGAATTGAAGTGGATCTTCGCATGATCGACACCCCCTCTGTTGTTTCGGCTTGGAACATTCTCGGGGACAGGGAAGGATTCCCCGATTTTTTCGCGATTGGATTGTCATTCGTCCACGATGTGTGGCTGTCGAATTTTAAAAAGGCGGTACTTACCTGTGAGTAAGGAGGTTGCGGAGCCGAGTTGGTTTGGTTTGGTTGTTCCGTATCAGCACATTGCGTTCCTATCGGATGCACGAGGCTGTTGTTCCCAATTACCCGAGATGGGGTTGTGTTTAGGTGATGTACGATCTCGAATTCTGTAATTCACTGGGAACAGTAATTAGGCCACGAAGTGCAGCTTTGATTGGTGAGGCTTTTCTCGTGGCAGCGATGCATCTGGTTCATTGTTTGGTTCCTATCGCAAACATCGGTTCGATCGGAACAATTTGCTATCTAAGGCCTGATTGATTCACACGTGGTTGGGTTGGCTCCTGGTCTTGAGTATGTGACTCCTTGCTCGTTCTCGGTTGAAGAACAGATTGACTCACTGCTTTTGGATGAACCTGCTTTGTGGGGTATCGAGTTTTGGTTTGATTGAAACCTACTTCGAGTGTCCTTTCGACTTGCTGTTTTATCGAGGCGCTTTGATTCCTCCCTTGGATCTTCTCGAATTGCTCTAACTATATGTCATCCGAGGTTGGGTCGTGAAAGCATGTGATGGTTGTGTTAAGTTTGGTTTGTAATGCTCTCACCATGAGATTCTTCTGTTATACTGTATCAATCCCTGTTGTTTTGGTCCTATGCTATGACTCGATGCTCCCCCTAGTCAAGTGTTGTTTTTTTGCATGAATTATATCGCAACATGTCGCGGCGCTGTCGCGTGACTCCGGCGTGAGTAATGTGCCTCGTAAACACACGCAGAGCTTAGCTCTTTGTACTTGCAATGGGGTCAAAATCCCTGTTGCCATGTTGACGTCCTCCGTGCATGCTTCCGACATTTAGGGAGTGAGCATCAGTGTCGTTTAAGATGACCACTCTTGATTGATGAGTATGTTGCTCCCATGGCGTGTGTATTCCCAATTCCTTCTCCCTGCAGCTGCCGTTTTTTCTTTTTTTCCTCCCCTTGTTGTGTTGACATTTTGTTCATTGCTACGTGTCAGGTTCCGACGTTCTCGGAGAACGGCTGGTACTCGGACTTGTTGTCGGATGATGGGATCTGGATTGACTCCTTTCCCGCGCCTGCTCGACCGACACAAGCTCTCATCTCCCTGGCATCGTCCAGAATCCTTGAAGGCGTTAGGATCCATTCTACAGATGCCACGCCTCCTCTCATTTCCATCCTTTCCTTCGATAATTGGGCTGATCTGTTATGGACAGCTTCGCATGACAAGCCTGCTTTTCGCAGACTTACCGAAGATCGTGTGACTCATGCTCCAGAACAGTTAATGGAGGATGAACTCGTTGACCTCTGCGTCAATAACAATCTTGCTATCAAAGAGAAAAGGTTTATAGAGTTATGGGGAGCCGAATCGGACTTCCATGCTGGATTGATCCAGGCTGATCCAGACATCCCGACCGGTCTGTCCTCATCCGAATCGTCCGACGAAGAGGGTGATGACTCCCTCCGGTTCACCGAGGAGGAAAAGCAGTTCCATGCTAAGCTTTTGGCTAGTGAGAAGAGAGAGAAGGTGAAGGTAATAGCGGCCAATCAGAGGGTAGAAGTGAACAAGTTTGCTCGCAATGCCTTCTTACCCACTGTTCCCCCCAGATGGATGGAGAGACAGTCCAGGGGAGTTGACGATAAGCTTTGGGATCTTCTTACGTTTAACTACTTTGCTCCTATTCACGCTGACTCCTATCGCTTTCTTGCCTCCCTCACTGAGCAGGAGTTGCCGAAATGCAATGAGAAGGCACTCACGGAGAACACTGACCTCTGTAGAGGGGACTTTCCTCTTACTGCCGATAACATGAGGCTTCCCGTTGTCGGGGAGTTTGACCGCACTAAATGCACTACTTCTAGTACTGCATTGTTGGTTAGGGGGTTCATGGGTCCCCGAATCCAGACTGCGATAGCAGAGCTCAAGCAAATTTGGAATGTTGGTAGGCCTTACCTGAAGTGTCGTTGCGTTGAGCTGAACAAGGGCGATTGCGGCAAGAACATCACGTGGTTCGACTACGTCCTTTGGTATCTGCTCTCGGATCTGCATTACTTGTTTCCAGAGGCTCCGTCCCTCAGAGCACGCACCCACGCCTTCAAGGTCTTGGCGAAGACCACATGGCGTGCTCCCATTCTTGCATCGGTTGTCTTCTTTCGCATGAGGGAGATCATGGTCAGGATGGCCCACAGCGTCTGCAATGACCCATCCAGGACTCCGCAGAATATCCTGGATGAGCCAGCCACCATGCTGCACAAGTTCCCAAGAACGATGGCCAAATTGATCCTCTCTTCTCGTTATGTTCGCTCCGCAGAGAAAAGGAAGAGGGAAGAGTCTTCCTCGAAAACGGCGGTGAAGTCACTGAAGTGCGCAAAGAAAGGCAAGCAGGCCACATTGGAATTCTACGTGGTGCCACCCAAGGACCAGACAACATCGGTGGTGACTTGCACTCCCCCCTCCTCCACGATTACTGAGTAGGGTGATGGCCAAGCCTCCGCATCCAGCAAGGCTCCGAGGAAGAGTCCGAGGGACAGGACCCCAGCCAAGATGATCTTGTTCAATGCCTAACTGTTGATCCGGATTGTGTTTGATTTTGTGGTCTACATGATAGTGGGGGTGTCATGGCCCGTGACCCCTCTGGGAGATACCAATGGCAGAAGCCAGCTCCCCCTGAGAAGAGCTTCTTTGTACATATGAAGTATACCAGCCGAATAATGGAGCAGGTTTAGTTTAGGCCTATCCTTGAGAAGACGATTGACCAGTTCTTTCCCATTGGAGCCAAGGAGTTGCTATCAGTGATTGTTGTGGGTTGGACATACTTGAATTCTTTGGAATCATTGGTGTATAAGCCTGATGCTGTGTTTCGTGATTTCTTGCTCGATGAATGGTTGGATTTTTGTTCTGGCTTCACTACTTGCCGATGTGCTACGAACCGGTTCTTCCCCTTCCATCACCCTTGCACCCTGGACATGGGTCAACCCTTTGCCACCCCGTCTTCGCATGTGCTCTCTCTTGATCCCTTGATCTCTGCCCTCCCCAAGCTTAAGCATCTTCTCTCCCAGGGCTTGAATCACATCCCTTTCCACCCTCGCAATACACATGTTGTGTTCCATGAGTTCATGAATGCATGGCGTGCGATAGCCAAGTACATGGGTGGGCGGATACTGATCACTAGGGGAATGCAGGCGAAAGCTACTATGTATGTCGCAGAGTGTCTGAGATCACAACTACGATCCACAAACCTGAAAAAGTTCAGGGATCCTCCATCCGATCTTGACACCTATGCGGTAAGGAAGGAGGCTGAGTTTCTGGGAAGGAGGCTGTTTATTGTCGGGACGGACAAATCAGTTAACACTCCATCGTTTGCCTGTATTCACCTGGTTAGGAAACTTGCGTTGGACAGACTGTGTAGCAAGGATTTTGTACCCATTTCCCTGACTGCTGATGAGGTTATTATTGAGGTTGAAGACTCATTGATCCGTCTGTTCCCCTCCTTGTCTCTAGGTCCGAGGAAACTGTCATACCTCATGGCCTTGTACAAACATCATAAGTTGACATTCAAATGGCTCACGAACGCTTCTGCTTCTTTTCTTACACCCATAGCTGCCCTATGTGACACGCTCCTCAAAAGTCTGACCCCATCAGTCATGTCTCATTGCAAGGAGATCACCGACGGACTGCTGCGTATTCATAATGTGGATACGTCCATCTGGTGGGCCATTGAATCCATCCAGGATTACTGCTACAATTTGCCTGACAAAGTGTACTCAGTATTTTCCGCAGATATTACCAGGTGCTTTGAGACCATCCCGATTGACGAATCGGAGGACAACCTCACTTCTGCAGTTGCTTTTTTCGCTAGGATGGCATTCAGAGCCCTGGATGGTCGTTCTAGATCAATCGTGAAATGTAAGATTAACCGCAATGGACATGTCTCTTGCGTAATAATGGAGGGTCCAAAACGCTCCCCCTCCCCACGTGTATTGTGGTTGGATGTGAACGATGTGATCCAGATCACCAAATGGCTGGTAGCCAGATGCTTCATGACATTTGGTGGACGTATTTGGAGACAGATTTATGGGATCCCAATGGGCCTTCCCTGCTCCCCGATTTGGTGCACAGTGTACTTTTTTAAGTACGAATTTAGGATGATTCAGCGACTGATTGATCATAAGGCTGTCAACCTCCTTCCCCTCTTCAAACACACCTATAGATACATCGATGATCTTCATTCTCTAAATAACCCCTTCATCCTGAAATTTCTGCAGAACCCTCCTCCCACTGAGGACCCGGAGTTATTCTCCCTCTACCCGAGGCACCTCATTGAGATTAAAAATCAAACTGAGGTGTTCGATCTTTCTGAATCAGGTGAAATATATGGCATGAAGACACAGTTCCTCAATGCAGAGATCACAGTTACCTCTGATATCCTTGGAACATTCACCACCGGCAAATTTGATAAACGGCTGTCCCTTAGGTTCCTGGTCGTTCGGTACATGAAATGTGCTTCGAACAGACCCATACAACAATCCTTGAATATCATTTTAGCCCAGGTGTCTTCTATCTTGGTAATTTGCTCTGAACCTGTATCGCTGCGGAAGAAATTTTGAAGGTCGTCACATACATGACCAAGAATGGCTTCTCTCTCCAACGCTGTGTCATGTGCGTGAATCGTGTCCTTAACTCCCCCCAGAATTTCCTCCCTTCCAGGGTGAATATTGCGGACACGGATCGACAATTCAAGGTGAGTGTGTCGATTCGTTCCCCCCTGTTGGATTGTTTGATTGGATTGTTTGATGAAATGAGAAGTGATCATGGCTCTTGGATCGTGTGTAAGTGGGTGTAGGTGTGTGTGCTAGATGCAGCCCCTACCGGCAGGGCTCTCTAGGCAGCTAGCAGGTACCTTGCCAGCGGCAGGTTCCTGGTTACCTGTCCTGGTGAGCTGCCTCCTAGCGGGGAAGGGGTGGGCCACACACACACACACACACACACGCAGGCAAGGGGTGTGGACTTAGCTCGAATACGTGTCGCTTCGGCTGCATACCAAATAGGACTCTTGAGCCAATTCGAGATCATGGTCATTTACCCTCCAGTGGGAATCTCAACTCGGGTTATGCTTCCCTTTAAGAACCCCGAAGGAATGGGTGGAAACTCGGGCTTAAAATACAGCCTGCATAACTTCTTGGGTTCCCCGAAAGAGAATTCTTCAATTCGGACTACCCCACCCTACTACCCCAGAAGACTCTGGATTTTTTGAACCTGGATAACCTACCCCTGTCTTTTCTTCCTCTCGGACCCCGTTTTTTCATAAACCTTCCGTCCTTCTTGGATCCCGACGCTACGAGTAAAGCTCCCGGTCGTATGTAGCCCAGACGTATTCAAGGATCCACGAAGGATATTTAAAGTCGAAACGCTCCTTCGTTCGACCTCCTTTACCATTGAGTCGGAGAGCCCACCCCCTAGTCTTGTGCGTCCCTTCGTGAGCTGGTGCTACTGACCGCCTCCCGTTCGGACCGTGAGCACTAGTGGTGTGCTCTCCGCCCTCGTTCCGAAGTTTTCGCACGCCTGTTCGGACGGAGAATGCATGCGCTCTCGTGTGGCCGGATACAAGAGCTGTTTCTTCGAGTTTTCTTCTGCGTCCGCGCGCGCTTGAATCACTGCACACTGCCCGCCTCTTGCCCAAGTCGCTGCCACCGCCCAACCGCCCCCGGGATCCTACTAGGACTGTTCATGCTTAGCGTCACTGCTTGCTACCCGCCTCCTTCGCCAGTCATTGCCTTCACCCTGCCTCCTCGCTAAGACCACATTCACGACGCCATTCTCTCGCCTGCACCATATCACGCCTTCTGACCGCCCATTCTTCGCTTCCATCATATTGCGGAGAGACGGGGGAACGGTACCCGAGGGACTACCCTGAGCTCCCCTTTCGGCACGTCCTACGTGTCTGAATCATCTGGGCGTACACGACTATACCCCGTGCACCCGAAGAAGGATTGTGTGCTTCACAAGAGGTGGTGATTCCCACTGTGCTGAGATGACTCTGCGGCGGTAATTTCGTCGTATCCCATACTTTCCTCTTTGAACCCACCACCCACCCCCGACTCCCACCCCCTGAGACGTGTGATATTCTCCTTCTGCTGACTCATTGGCCCTGTACTATGTATGCTTCTCTGTCCCCTTCGTCGGAATGTCTATGGAATCCGGGCCATGCCCGTAAGGAATCCTGTCCCGTTCAGTACGCTATGACTGGTGGTTTTGTTTCTCTGATGATCCGGTATGATGGGGACTGGTGAAAAGTACTTTAGAATATACTCCATCACCCTCTGATCATGCGTCGGCTTTTCAGAGCCGGTTGACTGAAACGGGACCTCAACACCTTTCTTTTTTGTTCTTCCTCTCATCATGGTTTTTCCTTTCCCACTGCCCCTCCCCCTTCACCAGAATGCATTGCTCTGTCCCCTCATGAGTTCGGAAAAGGCAGGATTAACGACTCCATTTATCCTATGCATCATCCGTACGCTCGTCTTGTGTGTGATGAATGGTGGTTGTCATAGGCTCTCCTCTATGCATCTTCACTGGAGTTTTAGCGGCTTCCATTCGACGACTGGACGCAGGAGACATGAAACTCTTATCTGCTGTGCATGCTGCGTTGATCTTCTTACTCTCCTTCATGGCGTATCTTGCCTTCCTCTCGTTTTTGGACCTCCAAACGATCCACTCGATGTCGCTCTTGGGAATGTCCCGTAACTCATCCTCGCTCCTTCCCAGACGATGCAGAGCAGCGTAATTCTTCGGGTTATGGTGTTATGTAGACAAGCGGGGTGTTTCACTTTCGTCATTCTCTATGGTGATGAGAATGGATACCATGGCGTCACTATGGAGGTTTCGTCCAGGTCAACCCTTCGTGTTCTTCCTTCTTTTTTTTTTTTTTTTTTTTTTTTTTTCCCCTTCCCCCCCCTCCTCCCTTTTTTTTTTTTTTTTTTTTTTTTTTTTTTTTTTTTTTTTGCTTTTGACAGAAAGAAGCTCCAGTCTATTCGTGGGGAGCAGCACGTGATGGGAACCGGGCCCAGCGTCCCATATGAACATACATCAGTTTGTAACACCGGGGCGATTATCCGGCTTCGGCTGAGAAAAACCTGAGAATATAAAATTCTAATGCTGATGATACTAATGATGCCAGTGATGACAAAAAATGTAGCCACACATGCTGAGTCAGCCATACTGGACTCCTAATCTTGAACAACTCCAAGCCCTCCCTTACCAGGATATTGCAACTCTAGAACAAGACAAACCTATCCCCCCACTGCCATAGCTGATCTCTCCTCACCACCCAGACTAACCCCACCCCATAGGCTGTCAAGGTAGCCCCTCCTGGTTCACCATTGGCTTGCTTTCCTCCCTCAGCAAACCCCAGCTCTCTCTACAAGGCCTTCCGCCCCTGCCAATTACAGGTTACAGGGCTATGCCCCAGCTCCGGCCAGCGTTGTTCTGGCATCGGCAATCCAGGAGCACAGAACAAAGCAACTTCAGCAGTATCAGTCTAGGTTCGACGA